GAGAGGGACAGAGAAAGAGAGATAAGCAGAATTGTAGAAGGGAGAGAGAGAGAGAGACAAAGAGATAAGCAGAATTGTAGAAAGGAGGGGGACAGAGAGAGAGATAAGCAGAATTGTAGATCGGGGAGAGAGAGCAAGGGGTGGCACAGAGAGATAAGCAGAATTGCAGAAAGGAGAGGGAGAGGGACAGACAGATAAGCAGAATTGCAGAAAGGAGAGGGAGAGGAACAGAGAGATAAGCAGAATTATAGAAAGGAGAGAGAGAGAGAGAGGGACAGAGAACATAGAACAGTACAGTAAGCACAGTACAGGCCCTTCGGCCCACAATGTTGTGCCAACCTATTATCCTACTCTAAGATCAAACTATCCTGCATACCCTACATTTTACTATCATCCATGTGCCTATCCAAGAGTCATTTAAATATCCCTCATGTATCTGACTCTACTATCACCACTGGCAGCGCATTCCATGCACCCACCACTCTGTGTGTGAAGAACCTACCTCTGACATCTCCCCTATATCTTCCTCTATCACCTTAAAATTGCACCGAGATAAGCAGAATTGTAGAAAGGAGAGAGAGAGAGAGAGAGATGGACAGAGAGATAAGCAGAATTGTAGATAGGAGGGAGAGAGAGATAAGCAGTATTGTAGATGGGAGAGAGAGAGGGACAGAGAGATAAGTAGAATTGTAGAAAGGAGAGAGATAAAGAGAGAATCGAAGATAGAGACACGGAAGGACAGACAGTGACAGAGAGGCAGGTAAAGATAGAGACAGGGACAAAGGGACAAGAGAGAGTGGGGGGGAAGAGAGAGAGGGAGTTGAAGATGGAGACACAGAAGTGCCAGAGAGACAGGTAAAGATGGAGAGAGAGTGACAAAGGGACATATGGGGGGGGAAGAGAAAGAATCATAGATAGAAAGAGAGAGACAGAGAAACAGAAAGAGAGAGGGATACAGAGACACAGACAGATAAGAGTGAGGGAGAAAGACAGAGAGACAGGAACAGAGGAATAAACAGAGAGATAGAGAAACAGCCAAAAAGAAAGTGAGAGAGAAACAGAAAGAGAGCACAAACAACAGACAGAGGCACAGACATAGAGGTGGAGAGAGATGTAGATGCAGACTGATAGTGAGAGGTGGAGACAGATATAAAGAGACAAGTAAACAAAGAGTGATAAGCAGAAGGCAAGTAGAGAAAACTGGAGGTAGAAATACGAGAGAATTCTCTGTCTCATTCCCCGTCCTCCTCTTCCTCTGTCTGTATCTTTCTCTGTCTGTATATCTCTCTCTGTCTCTTTATCTCCATGTCTCTCCTTCTGTCTGTGTGTCTGTACTTGACTCTCCCTATCTGTTTCTCACTCCCTCTCTCATTCCCTGTCCCCTGTTCCGCTCTGCGTCTTTCTCTCTCTCTCTCTCTGTCTCTGCTTCTCTCTCTCAGTCTGTATATCTCTGCCTGTCCATTCCCGTTCCCCTCTCTTTTTCTCTCTCCCTCGCCCTGTCCCTTTTCTCTTCTTCTCTCCCCGTCACTGTTTCTTGCTCTCTCTCTCTCTCTCCCCCTCCTTTTCTATCCCCAGTATGAATAAAACACGCTGCGATGAGAGAGACAGTTCTGGGGTTGTGATTAAGCATTTTACTTGCACATCGCCTCTTTCTGTCTCTTTCTTTCTGAAGAAGGGTCTAGGCCCGAAACGTTAGCTTTCCTGCTCCTCTGATGCTGCTTGGCCTGCTATGTTCATCCAGCTCTACACCTTGTTATCTCAGATTCTCCAGCATCTGCAGTTCCTACTATCTCTGCCTGTTTCTGTCTCCTGGTTTTCTGATGTTGGCTTTCCCAAGCTTTGCCCTTGAGTTCAAAAATACAGTCTGTGTCGGTTCCACCCACCCCCGGTCTCCCCTTTCCCTTAGTTTTGCACAGCTAGCTGGCATACAGTCCTGAGAGAGGGGCTAGCAGATGGGTTGATGTAGTGTGAGGGGAGAGCATTACTGTTTACTTTAGCTCCCAACCCCTGCCCCATCACAGCGATGCCTTCCATGGTGCATCAGCCCAGCAATTGAGAGAGGGAGAGAGGCTTGGTTTTGATGGGGTCAGTGTTTCAGAGTGAGCGATGATCCTCCCTTGCTAGCTCTGCCCCGAATCTCTGCATGTCGCCCCATCTCTCTCTCTCTCTCTCTCTCCACCCCACCCTTAATCTCTGATGCCGTCTCTACAGCCTTCCCAATCTCTCATCTGTAACTCGCTGTCTGTCTCTCTTTTTCTCTCCTCCTCTCTCCGACCCTCCGACAGAGCCCGCTCCCTCGGCACTGGCCCTCCGACAGCACCCGCTCCCTCGGCCCTGACCCCCCGAAGCGCCTGTTGCCTCAGCGCTGACCCTCCAACAATGTCTCTGTCTCTCTGTACCCCGTCCCTCTCTCAATCTCTTTCTTTCTTCCCTCCCCCACCGGTGTCCCCCCCCACCTTTCCCAATGCCATCATTCTCACCTCTGTCTCCTTTCTTACCCCATCAGCTCCCATTAGGCCTGCTACCCTTCCCCAATCTGACACCGCGAGCAGTCAGTGGGTACATACCATTGCCACCCCCCAGCCACTGCACCGTCAGTCCCAGTCTGTCACTCCCCCTTGGTGGGAGAACAGCTCTTACCTGTACTGCCCGGACCTGTCCCTGTAAATGATGGGTGAAGATGGTACACTCCTTTCCATCCCAGACATGCTTCTCTGTAGCAACCTGCAAACACAAAGGGAGAGAGAGAGTGGGACTCGAGCCAACGCACACTCACCATCGCAGTGTCTCCTCCGGGCTGCCTCGGGTGGGCAAAGCGTCCAAGGAAGTTCCCGGTTTTCCTCCGACAGCGCCCCGCTCCCTCGGCGCCGACCCTCCGACAGCGCC